ATACGGAAGCCGCACATTACTAATATCCTCTTGTTTCAGCACGAACACGCCAACCATGCATGCGAGTACAAGCTTGCATACGTGTGTGTGTGTGCGTGGCTGTGCGTGTGTGCAAGCAAGCGCAGTGGACATTATTGATTTCAACTGATCTAATGTGTATTTAAATCTGATTGAAAGTCTAAAAAGCAAAGGGGTCCTCAAGTGTGGCTGTGATGAAATAACCCAACTTTCTCATGATACTTTACCGACTGGCATTATAGAATGGGAGCCTTGTAATGAGACCCACTCCACCTGAAACATGCACATGTCCATTTGGGGTGCTTTGCGCGCCATTATTTTGGACCTACAACGGAAAAATCATCTGGATCCGTGTAAATGTTTTGAGTGGACTACATCGATTTAGAAAATAAATCTGGATGATTGTATTTTGTGAAGGCAATTGATGAGATAAAATTGCGTCAATTCAACCGACCAGCGACACGGGAAAACAATTTGGTGTAGCTGTCCATGGTAGATGTACTTGGAAAAGCGCCATTCAACCTTTCAAGGTACCCGAAGCGCTTTCAGGCTTTCCTCCATTCGCCCCCCGGATGACGCGGCATCAAAAGCAACTGAGGTTTCGTTATCTAGTTCAAGGACACTTTGACATTTTGGTTAGGAGACAACCACTCTACCACCGGCCCAGTGGCTCTAATGCCATCAGATTGACAAGTGTGGAAAACAACAGTTAGCTGATTTGCTTTTTACCTCACATCTCCTTCTACCCTTGTATGTTTTCCCTCTCATTGGGCTCAATTATTCAAATGTCTCTCTGCCTCTCCATCTTCTTGGGTGAGAAGCCATCATGTAGTTATTGTCGATGTTAGAAGGAAGCTTTTCAAAAAAACGTATCTGCAGCTGCTACTGGTTGCAGGAGGACAAAGCTCATTTCCCTGTCTTTGTTGTTGTATGAATTGGTTTAAAATATTTTTTTTGCTCTGCTTTTAGACTTGTTAGTGTACAAAGAAAAAAAGAAAAATCACCATTCACATAGATAGAACACAGCATGGATACCATATGCAGCAGTCTGGCTCACACAACAGCAAAAGCATTTTATTTTGACCGTGTTCAGTCTGGCGTGTGCTGATAATGATCTAGACCTGTATAGTATCCAGTCGGACACACAGGCAGCAAATGAAAAAGAAAAATATGACAGTAGCAATAAGTCAGATCGTTTTTCCTTTACATGTAGGCCGCTCTTCCCTGTCATGGCTGTGAGGATAAATGGAACCGTGGCGAGCTAGAAATTAAAAACAAGAGCCAATTTAATATGCAGCAGTAGCTGAAGGCGCACGAGGGATGGCACGAGTCGAAGGCCAACTTTATGGGCAGGGGGGGCAGGTGTGAGGGCGATAAATATGAGGTAATTAATCAGCGCTATCATCTCCATGGGAGTTTAGCTAACCACTGACCTCAGTGCTTTAGGCGAGGGACCTGCTCCCGTAACAGCTGCCATTACCAAAGCAAACTTGCACGCACGCGCAAGACGAATGGGGCATCGCGCATTTTTAGAAGATCAGCTTTCACCAAGGCTACAACACATGGAAACAAACATGATCTGCCGTATGAAATGTGTGATGAAGCGATACCACAAATCTGTTTTCAAGAGCGCACCTGTGTGGGTTTATTTAGAATACAACAAAGATTAATCCATGGCAAGCATTACGAAAAACATGGAAGTGGAATGAAAACAAAATAAAATACATGTAACAAGAAAACGAGTCAAAAAAACAAATGTGCACTGTGCCTTACTCAGACAAAAACTTCCCAGTTGCACTCATTTGTTATCCACTTGCCCAAAGTCAGCTCACCCACTTCCTGAATGATCACGAGGACCCGTGAAGGAAACGAAGCAGATGGAAATGAAATCGATAGATAGCTTCCATTTTACACAACGTATCAAATATATTTTTGGAGCCGTGACTCGTAGAAATGTTTCAACCAATCAACGTCATCGTTTCATAGTGCTTTGCTTCTATGCTTGCGAAGCCTAGTGAGTGGTACTTTGTATTCCAAGGTGCTCGGGGGGGCCCACGGATGCACTCGCACTCCACAAACAAAAGCGCCGCCACTTGATCTGCATATCATTACGTTTTGGGTCAAATGACGCGGATTTCCCGAGATACGCATCGGAGTCAAATGGAACGTGTAGCCCCGAAACACCTGTCTGATTGTTCTCTCTTTGAGGAGGACGCAGCTGTAAAACTGGCACCCGCTTAATTGAATTAGCCTTGTTAATGTATTCACACGGGCTGCCAAAAAAAAAAAAAAAAAAAAAGTCATTAAACGAGCTTGTTAGCCAAATTAGTTAATGAATTGTCTGAACAGCAGCCGCCCTTCAAAGAGCTGCGTCTTCATTATCTGATGACTGTGATCCTGGAATGAGGGCTGAGAAGGCCCTTCTGCCAGACTCTTTGTGTGTTTGTGCCCGTGTGCGCGTGTCCTCAAATGTCACACATCCCCTCAGAAAATGGCGTACGTCGTCGCATACATGCGGATCCTTGAGCGGTGCCGGGCCAGTGTCCGTGTGCCTCGTGCACTCGCAGGTAGATGGAGCAGCCCTCCCTTCCACTTTCTAATCTGTCTTTTATTAGAAGTTAATATCTCGCCTTCTCACTTCGCACTCCCACCTGCTTAGAAATGGCCCCGCTGCATCTTTTTAATTCAATTATATGAACCTCTCTCTCTCTCTCTCTCTCTCTCTCTCTTCGTCTCTTCCTTCAACC